GCCATACCCCTACCATAGAGAGAGTTGTGGGCTTGCAAGTGGCTCGGAAGCGATTTCCAGTCTCCATTCGCGTTTGCCGCAGCGTAGCAATGTGGGTTTGCATGGCTTGCGAGTATTTAAGCGATTTGTGGCCGGGAAGCCTGCAAGTGGCTGGAAAGTGACTTGCGAGCTGCTTGGAAGTGGTTTGCGTGTGTTTTAGAAGATTATTGAAACAATAAAAAATTCTACAACACATTTTGCATTGTAAGACCAACTTCGAGCGCGTAGTTTTTGAAAAAGGATGTCTCTAACATGCAGCTTTCACAAACTTCCACTGCAATTCCGCAGGTTTTTCTGACGCTTCAAATCTCATCCCTCGAATCCGCTCGCTTTGTTGTCAGACCTTCTAAGACTAGTGCTGCCATGATCCACAGCTGCTGCACTTCACTTCGATTGCAACGAACATCTTGCCTCTGAGCTCTGTCGGAGCATTTGTCAATCTGTTACAACGTGTCCCATGGCTGTGAGCACCTCGAAGCGATTTGTGGGTCTGCGAGCAGCTTCGCGATAGGAGTTCTCTGTGAGTAGCTCGGTACCGCTTGGCTACGTGGCATTAACTGGAGCACAGCTGATTGGCATCGCGGCTCACGGAGACGCCATCAACTTCATTATCAAACATACGAAGCCAATGGAACAAACTTGAAATTGCCGAGACTGCGATCTTCGCTATCGATTTGCTCTTGGTGTCTGCACACATCGTGTCTATCACAATTGCGCAACTTGCTTCACCGACTTGTTTTCTGTTGGAAAGTTCCAGCACGATTTGCAAGGAGGATTCTTGGAGGTCCTAGCGACGTGATCAATCGCTCCATCAAACAGGCTGAGATAGCCGCAAACGATGACCTGAACCACATGATGCAGAAGATCTCGGTCCTGATGTTCCGGAACCAGCACCAGAGGATTCTGAACTAGGAGACGAAGAGGATCATCCCGAAGTCGTCAGTTCGCGAATCCCTGTGTTGGTTGGTGACATTAGCAACCACATTGACCAAGATTTAGAGCATGCCAAGGCCAATCTGCAGGTTCCCATCTACATCCAAGTGGACCGAGCGTGTGCGGTGGATCCAAGTCTGCTTTTGGCACGCTACATGGCCTATACCATTTGAAGCTACATCTACAAGAACTGGAGAGCAAATATGAAGTGGTTGGAAATCCCGAGACGAGTTATGCTACAGTTGTTTGAACAAGGAAACCGTCATGATGCTCTCGGAAAATGGGGGCCAGATCTTTCTGAAATGGACCCTGAAACCTTGTTGTCCCGAGATGTTCTTGACGAAGAAGTTCTTGCCTATGGTCGAAGCAAGAACGTGTTCGAAGACCCTGATGGTGAGTTTCTACTTATCAAGCTTCGGACCAACCAACTGATCTCCAAGCTCATGAGAGGAGCAGCACAGTTGGGAATTGGAAGGGACCGGTTCAACCCTGCCAATCACCTACGTGCAGATCAAACCCTCAATGCACCACAGATGCATTCGAGCTGCTATGCGTTGCTGCAGAAGGTCATCGGCAAAGTCACTGGGTACAACAACTTTACTATGATGCGCCCTAGCACAAGTACGACCACGGACCATGTACTCTGCATCGACCCTGGTGGTATCGCACAGATGATTGGCCACAAGATCATCCCAGTTGAACAACTTTCCCTTTTGATCGACAGCGGCACACAACTACCCGCATCGTTCCGTACGCGCATGATTGCAATCCGTCAACAAGCTGGTACTTCCAGGAACCCAGCTGCATTGACGCACTTGCTGACGAGCATTATCCTCCTCCACAACAACCTCGCCGCGACCGATGGCAGCGTAACCAACGTGCCTACAATGATCGATGGTACAATTGATCGATTACCTGCACATCGTCGCATTCATTGATTACTTCTTCGCTATGAGAACATGACTGATTGCGCCACATTTCGCGCATATTTCTTTGAGTGGCTCCCTTCACTTTTCACCGAAGCCGGGGGTCGCACCCAACGTAGTTATGTTTTCACCCAGCGCTTAATTGGGCATTTATACACGCAACAAGCCAACATCGCCGTTGAGATTTCTTTCTTTCAGGTCCCACTACTCTCTTCTTTTCGTGAGTGAAGCTGAAAGCCTCACTCATGGGGGGTGTGAAGAGACCTCGATGCCTAGTGCAATGTTAACTTACATCACATGGGCTGCCTTGAGCAACCATGTTGATCGGCTATGAGACGCGTGTAAGAGTAATCAGCCTTGGGCTATCCCATGATCTGATGTTCTCCGGCGAATGTTTGGCTCAAGTCAAAGCTCAATCCGAAGCCACGAGCTCGAAGAGCACGAGGCAGAGAACAAAGGTAGAACACACTACTTTCTTATCTTGTCTCCAGACATCAGCAATTGCGTGTATCGCCCCTTGCACAGACACTTCAGCTGTATCGCGAGGAAGCGACAAGAGATCTGAAGGTGCCTGCTCGGGCAACGTTATCCAGTGCTTGGACATAGGAGGTGAGCGAGCATACAGTATATCAAGACCAAACCCTCACGCAGTAGTAGTAGTAGTAGTAGTAGTAGTAGTAGTAGTAGTAGTCGTAGTCGTCGTAGCAGTAGCAATGGAAGCAGTACCAATAGTGGTGGTGGTGGTGGTGGTGGTGGTAGTAGTAGAAGTCGTGGTGGTGGTGGTGGTAGTAGGAGCAGTAGTGGCGGTGGCGGCAGCAGCAGCAGCGGTGGTGGTGGTGGTAGTAGTAGTAGTAGTCGTAGTGGTAATGGTAGTAGTGGTGGTGATAGTAGTGGTAGTAGGTGGAAACCGGCTGATCCTCACGTTTTGTCATTTCTCGATACAAACGTAGAGAACTGCAGAACCCATGTGGGCGACATGTTGCAATCACATAGTCGATGTATCGCTTAAAAGGTTCTACTTACCTATCTAATTATACATTTATCTATCTGTCTGTATTTATATATCTTTCAATGGATAAGGAAGTGAAAAGGAGGTTGGCTGTTCCACGAAGGAAGCTGTTGCACTCTGAGACAATGGTGGGTTTGTACACATCGTACCACTCCCAATCTGTTTGCGTAGTGCTTTGATTTCCGCGGTTACGGAGTTTGATAATGATTGGCTGAACATCAATTGCGACATGCTTAGCCCTGTTTTCGGGTTTGCAATTTCCCGCTCGAGTCGGATGAATGCACTTTTTGGAGAATCATGGAGGTACATCGGTTCAGCCCGAATAGTTTCGCAGCTTCGCCTTCACGTATGCCCGGCAGAAGACCCAACTTTTGAACCAATTTCGACTTCACAGCACCTACCGAAGTGATTTGTGCATGGCAGTTTGCACGAACTGAAAAGCTTCACCTTGATTCTTTCAGTTTGTTGTGCCATGGCGCCATGGGATCTAGCAGGTGGTGCTGCTGCAGCTTGGGGAATTCCCAGCACATTGCGAAGACAAGCGCTGAATGCCAGCACAGCTTCCAAACTTTCGAGATCGAACCGATTCTGCGGCTTCTGCCAGTCCGCCCCATGGCCCTCCAACTTCTGATGTTGCTCAAAAATCGCGGCTCTTCTCACCTTCGTCCTCGTTCTTCTCGTCGGCACCCGTGATTGGCGAAGAAGCGACCGACCTCGCCGTCGTGCCGACCCCGGGAAAAAGAAGCGTCGTACCAATTCTTGATTGCAATCTCGTTCAGAGCAGCTTGGAGGCTCTGACACTTTTTCAGGCTTTTCAAGCTGTCACATAGCTCACATACTCGAAGGTGCTCGAAGTCATGACCTCCAAACTTGACGACGAACGCAGCCTGGCTGACTTTCCATCAGTAGGCTTAATATTCAGTTGTTTAATGTTGTTTACGGCGCGCAGTGTACCGAGGCTTACAGCGTGCGTGCTTGCAGGCTGTCGGTCGCTTGGCGAAGGCCACCAACAGATTGAAAACTGAGGGGTTTGTGTGTCCAAGCTGGAGCAGGATGTGTCCAAGCTGCGACCGCTGTGCTTGGGAGTTGTATCAGCCATTGCAGCATCATCGGCGTCGATGTCTGGTGCCAAACTTGCAGTAGCCAGCATCACTTACTGCTTCGCCAAGGCAGCTTAGTCAGAGGCTGTGACACCGCTTCTGCCAGAGGCGACACAGTCTGAACGTGCAGCGAATGGCCATTGGTGCGCTTAGCAGCTGGCGTCTCAGAAACAAACGTCCGAAATCAAAGCAATTAGCAGTTGTTCATCATGAGAGTCATGGGATGATTGACGAATGTCAAGAGGGTCGAACAGTTTTTATAGATTGTCTACAGTCAAGAGTCTGTTGGAGGGTTTGCAGAAACCAACAAGAAGAACAGGGTTTCCCTCCTACTTAGCGTCGTAATCAGGATAGAAACGGCAGGCAACACAAACAAGAAAGACAGAAATTACTAGGCGAGCAGCTCCCGGTCGTCGCGTGCGGTGCGCTCGCTTTTGACGAGCTTAGTGAGGTAGTTGATGCGATTGGTCTCCGGAGCCTTCTGTCCCGCGAAGCTGTAGCGAGGATGATCGGATGCCAATTGCTTTTTGAGATCTGAACAGGGCCCCGCAACAGGTCCCCTGACAGGTGCCCTAAAGGGCCGGCTGCGCAAACGGGTGGGACAAACGGGTGCGCGCGTCTTTTTTCCCGCAAGGGCTGTCCGGTTCCCTCGCGAAGCACTCAGAGGAGGAGGAGGCGGTGCGGGCAAAGGCTGTGCGGTTCGCCTATCGCTCCGCCGGGGGCTTGCATCTGCTGCTTGTCGATCCCTCGCAGCTAGCAGTTCTGTTTACTAATGTGAGTAACCTAATAGGTCGAATGAAATGCATGAGGTCATCAGCTTTCTGAAGTTTCCATGAATGCATTTCTATCTATGTATGACGGTGATCTAATGCACATGCATGAAAATCTAATTCGTTAAGCATTGGCACAGGTATCGTTCACTTAAAAAAGACGAAACATGCATGTGCACATATACATATGCATGTGTAGATGTATATATATATATATATAGTTATATATATATATATATATACACGTCTATGTATGTATGTACAGAGACAGGTACATTCTTACATGTATAACACGATAAGTGTGATGAACACCGTGAAAGCCAAATACGTGTGTGCAAAGGTAAGGGTTTTTAGGATCTTCCCGGCAGCTGTCCAGGATCAGCTAACATGCTGCTTCAAGAATGGCCAACCACGGCAGTATAAACGAAAAGGGCAACGGACAGGGCGAGGTGCGCATGCGCATGTTTGGAGACTACGTAAGCCCTGCTGAAGCACATCGCACACCCAGACAAACCTGGCGGGTGATCGATTGACAGTCTATGGCAGCAATGGAAAAGACAAGATGCATACCGATATCTTTTCGTATTCGTGCATCCACTATCGCATATGCAAGCAAGTAAGTAAGGAGGAAAGGGTGGAAGTAAGTAAGTAGGTATCTATGTATGGCTGTGCCTATAGGTGAATTTCCTCATATCTCAACATTTTGCAGCTGCGGACTCGCAAGCTGCAAACCCCGAAGCAAGCGACGAGCAGAGAGCCTGAACCCCTGAAGAAATAGCGAGTGCAAACAAGAAGAGCATGGGGGTGGGGAGTTCAAGCCCTAAGCTCTGAAACGACGACGAAATGGCAAGTGCTGAATTCTATACCGAGTGTCCAGCAGCGACCTCTGGAAGAAATTCAGCTCGGAACAGAGAGTTGTGTGAAAGTTCGGCGAGCCATCCGAAACTACTCATCGGTGGCACTCAAAGGTGCTGCTTGTGTTGTTTATTTGCCGTCGGGCAACATGGATGTTGTGTTTTTGATGGTTTGATCCAAGTTCATGCAACCCCTGACGATCCGATGTCTCGCACACCTAAGGCGTGGCATATTCGCAGGATGTGGCGACGTTGATTGCACCTTTGGCCCTCCCTGTGGTGCTAGAGGCAGGCCGGAGCCGTGCATTGCTACATGCTGTGGGTCTGCCGTTTCCAGGCCGCTTTATCTCATCCAAGCGACTCCAAGCTGCAGGGCTTGATGTGCGAGGACCGCAGTGCCAGAAAGCTCCGAAGGTTTCTTCTTCTTGGATCCAGGCTTTTGCACGGCTTGCACAGGGTGGTGGCGAGGCTGCTATGGCCGTGGACTTGATCTGGGGCCGAGTTCTGTACTTTGCGATTGCATGCTCAGAAGGTAAAATGCATTGTGGCTTCTCTTCCGACCCCAGATGTTGTCACGGCCTTTGCTCGTGCGTGTCACAGCGGAATGTCACGTGGCCATGCAACCTGACTCAAGGCACTGTCCATGCTTTCCGACTCGTTGCAGAGGCTGGCCCGGACATCGTTGGCCGAGCCAGCATATTCGCAGACTCCTGCGTATCATTGCCAGCATGTGTGATTTGGGCAGGCTGTGTGAAAATGCGATCTGTAGCGCCGCCAAGCTGTTGCTCTTGAGGGCTGTTGTGGCATGTTGTGAGATTGCATGTTCAGGTCGGCCACGTCAAGTCGTCGATGAGCTCCTTCATCTCTGTGACAGTGATCCCTCCAATCTGGAGTTGTCTCGATCTCACAGCTGCCACCAATCACTAAAGCTCCAAGCAGCAGTACCGAAAGCAGCTCAGGCAGCGGCAGGTGTCCTTGTGCCTGCACAGGCCGCTTGCAAGATTAGGTCAAATTTCTGTTGCCCAGCATGCTCTTTCAGCCCCTTGGGCGCTTTGGGTTTCAAATAAGCCTTCAAAGTGGCCCCGTGAGGCTGCTGGCTGCTGGGGTCGTGTCTGAGGCGGCATCCTCAGTGGAAGATGTGCGCGTCTGCAAATGCAAGTGGACTAGACTAGACTACAATCCAGACTGCTTCAGGCATGTGTGCGAGGCAGGGGCACTTTGCTGAACTCCCAGCCGGCAGCCAAGTTGAGATTGGCATGCAAGCGGTAAGCATGCAGATACTGCAATCACTACATGTTGTGATTAATTCTCAAGGTGGGCTCACCTGCTGGTCACTGCCCTAGCACTGCAGTGGCACATTGCATGCAATCACTCATGCAATTTTTTGGGTGTGCGGGAGCCGTTCGATTCGCGTGCTGCATGGCAGTACAGCCTTTCCCATGACCGGACCGTGGTGTTCAGCTCTGTGGCGATTCTGCGAACTGGTGTGAGATGGCAACTCCAAGACTCATACCGAAAAGGGTAGTGACTGAGGGACTCCTGCCGAAGGAATAAAGCTTTGAGTCTCAACCACAACCCTGGGCAACGGATGTGCACTCTCCACAAGACCTCGCCACCGTAAGTTGCGCGAGGAACGCTTCCTTGGCGCCGAAGATGAGGAGACCAAGTTGGACGGCACTTTTCACAGCAAGGCCTGGCCTGGCGAAGAAGGTTGCCATGCGGCTCGGACTATTGGGGCAAGGTCCAGGAGTTGTTTCACCAGGAGGTGGCTTTGCACTTCGAGTACGAGGTGCCGGTCTGCGGCTGACATGCAGCGCATGCGTGCGGAACTTGTTGAGCAGTCGCGACACAGGCTGCAGAGCGCTGCCTGCACTACCTTCGAAGAAGGCGGCTGTGCTTTATACCTTCTTATAGTCTTTCCTGTTCTTTCTGCTTGCTATTTTACTTTGAGGAAGCTCTTTAGATGGTCAAGGTGTCAATGCAATCGCTTCTCCGGCACCACGATTGGTATCGTACTAGTAGTTCTCCTTCGCATAGTTGGAAAAGGAAGCTCGGAAGGGAGCAGGGGTGAAGGACAACGGGGCGAAACAACCGGAAGGCATTCCCACAGTCATATGTCATTTGTATTCTGTCTAGTCACAGAATGTTCATCCTGGCCATGTTGGCTTATATATTTTTGGAGCAGATTGTCGGGCGATCATGTTGACATCAGACAAGATCGATGGCTCTTATGCGGCCAGCTGCGTCCGAAGGTCGCATAGCCTTCCGAATCCTTGACGAACAAGCAAGAATGCGTCTACTGCTGGGGAACGGCCCTTCGGGCTGATTTGCTCCTTCAGCTCTGATGGGATCTCTCCTTTGCATCGATAGAAGTGATGGTACGCCATCGACGGCAAAGGAGACCACCGAAAGCATTCCATCTAGCATATCTAGCGAGTTGAGGACTGGTCGGTGAGGACCAGATTCAGAAAGGCGGTGCACTGGTGGGTTCGACACCAATTTTCTGCCCTCATGCCTCGGGATCGCCTACATCTGCAGCTTGCCGCTAGAGGGCCAGCAGTGTTGCTGAGAAGCGATCAGGCATTCCTGGCAAGATTGTCTGTCTTTATTGCCTGTCAATTAATCAAAGAGCATGACGATGGGGCACCAATGTTGTAGTTCTGGAGATTGAATAAGATTCCGGGTGCGGTTCCCTTGTTGCAGGACGCAGCCGTCCTTGGTTTTCTTGGAAGTGATCCGGTGTTTGGCGGAAAACCTGGAGGCAGGGTGTTGATGTTGGAGAAAATGTGGATTCATCTGCTGCGCACAGGACTATCAAAGCCGCTCAGAGGCGCTGCCTTGACAAGAAGCTGCGCTGACACATCACGCCCTTCATTCAGGCTCGCGAGCTTGCTTGGGACGCTGGTCGACAGATGCTGGTTCCTTTGGATCCTCACCTGCGCCTAAGACTGCAGAACGAGGCCTGCATTGGATGCTTTCCCGAGCTTGCAGCTGCTCTTGTAAGATGCTGAAAGGTTCTTGAGGCTATGCAGCTCACGCCTCAGGCTCTTTGGGCTGACATGGCAGGGGTACCTTGGCTTAGTTGAGGCTTCGGCTGCCGCAAGCCCTTTGTTCTGCGGCTGTGGCAGCCGCAGACTGGCCCAAGAGCGAGGTGCTGTGGCAGAGCCAGGAGAGCGAGTGCAATCATGCACCTTGGAGCAGGAAAGTTTGGTGAAGATGACGCAGGTGCCTTAGAATTTGACAGCATAAGTCGAACCATTACACGCCATGCGAGAGAGTGGGGTAATTTATTGCAAATCAAGGTCGCTACTGAGCTGTAACCAAATATACTATGACTTATAACCAAATATATAGCTTTCTGGTTCAAAGGCTGGTCTGCTGGAAGGCTTACCGTCGTCTTCCCGCGGTCTCAACATGTCCCAACAATACTGCATAGGTCAGGCATGGACAAGCTTGGCTGCGTCCTACCACGGTCTCCAGTATCGGCAAAGGACTGCCTCCGCACCTCCGCAGGCCGCTGCTTTGCTGTACCGTCGGATGGACACGCGCAGTGTCAGCTTTCGGGTGTTGGGTGCCTTCCGCAGTTTGAGGGCTTCGTACCTGCCTTTCGTGCAGGTAAAGACCTCGCCGCAGGGACTGTGCATCCATGCCCGCATGATGATAACGTCCATAATCGCAGAGCATCCCATGTCGCCCCGTCCATGCCCGCACGGTGATAACAACCTCAACGCTATCAGAGTATGCCATGTTCTGGTCGTGCCCGCGCGATGATATCACTCATGCTATCCGAGCATCCAATGTCGCAAGTGCATGCTCTAGGGTCGTCGAGTCATGCACGCATGAAGGTAAGGTCCATGCTACTGGCGTTTACTGTGGTGTCGCGTCATGCGCGCACGATGATAGGGCGCCCTCCGTCGATTATGCCGGTCTTGCCAAAGACCAGCAATGGCCCTTCTGAAGACAGTCCGAATCGTGGCAGGGGCAAGCTCGGGAAAATGTTGCTTGCTGTCATAAGGACATCTCTTCAGACAATCCGTGGAATGCAGTGTCAGGGCTGTGCGACTCATCGCGCTAAGTTTGGCGCATGTGAACAGTCAACTGTGGCGTCATTGTATACTGGGCACTGGTGAAATCCCAAATGCGGTGCTCCTTGGCTTGCTCCGGCACATGCCCGATGGCGCAGCACCTTCAGCGTGCACACTCAAAACCTATGGTGATGCTGGGTGACTGGGTGATTGGTTTAGGCCCAGCATGGGCTTGTAGACAATGAAGCATGCGCGCTTTGCATGGTGCCGTCCCTGAAGTCTGGTGCCACTCTGAGGGCTCACCTTCTCAACGAGTGCAGCAAGCTGCTGGCAGCGAGCCTTCAGTCCTTGAGCGCATGCTGCCGCTTTGCTCACGTCCGAGGAAAGGAAAACCCAGGTGACACAGGCTGGGCCCTTGGGCCCTGGGGTTGTGTGCGGCCCTGAAGTGCGGCTCGGAGTGTCCAGGATCACCATGAGCGAGCTGCGGAGCTGCGGCGGGAAGTGATGTTGTTCGAGGCATTGGGAACGCTGAAACAACTGTTTCAACAAAGAGTTCGCTCATTCCCAATTTGATCCCAATTCGCTTCGACTCAATGCCGAACGGCAGAGCCAAAAAACAACCGAGCCTGGGGAGCAGTCTTGCATTGATTTGTACAAGGCGGCTTCGATATGTGTCCAGGTCACTGGCAGGCGAGAAGCGTTTTTAGCGTCTCTGCCAGTTCTCGCGGCACCACAATAACCGGCAGCATGTCCCGCATGAACGTGGGCGTGCTACTCTCCACCATAGGCTGCTACAATAGTGCAAACGAATCGAGCCAGTCTCAACTTCTCTTCTCAGTCCTTTCGTGGTCTGGTGCTTCGAAGGCCGTGGAGTACTTGGAACTGAACGCGGCGGAGGCCACACCAACTCAGGCCGAGCACGAACAGCAATGCTTATCCAGCTGCATGTCACAAATTGAAAGATCTGAAAGTGCCGACCAGTGCGGTCGGTTTGCGACAGGTGTCTTCTGCATTGCATATGCTTGAAGCTCGCAACTCAGAGGGGTCGCGGGACGGGGAGGGTTTTGTCACATGTTGTCGTGAGGTCGCAACCGCTGTGGCTCCGGTCGGGCCCATGGCTGAAGTGTGCCGCTTCGCCAAAGACGGAGCTTGTGCAGGCCGATGCTTTGGAACGCCTGCGGTATCGCCTTGGGAGGCCCCTTCCGCAGCTGTCTGCAGCCTCGCTTCCGTGTCCCAGTTTCCCTGTCTTTGCCAGAGGCTAACTGCGAGGGTTTCGCCCAAGGCTGAGACCTTCGAACTCGAAGCAAAAAGACGGCACAGAGAGACACCTCAGTACGGTTCACGCCACTTTCCGAGTTGTCGGTGGGTCGTCAAGCTTAGAAGGCCAGCAATGGTTGGACTGTTGGTTCATGAAGGCCTTGGCACTTTTGGAAGTAACAACTTATTTTGGAACGGGCTTGCGCCCAGCCACTATGTGCGAGGCTGTGTTGTGCTAGATAGGGCTACCAGATGTTGATTTTGCATGTTAATCCATGACCACAGGGCTGTCGGCATTTTGGGTTGTGCCTCGGAGCTTCTACACATTGCCCCAGACTGCATTCTGTGTTTCAAGCAGGCTGTCTGCGTATCAAATCCAAGAAGCTAGTCCGATGAAGACTGGCATGAGCCACAAGCCTAGACGATGCATTTACCAGGCTTGTCATGCTGTTCTTCGTTTCAACATCGCAAAGCACAGCATGCACAACAGTCCAATCTGAGCGCTGCGCCAGTTTCAGATCAAACAAATGTCAGTCCGAGTGGGAGCACGATTGTGTGGTGTAATTCCATGATACCCTCTGTGCTGCTGGCGAGCTGGTGTGCTTCAAGACCGAAGCCACATGCATCAGGCGACTGTTTTCTTGCTCGGGTGTGTTGGTCCGACAGCTTCATGGATAGGGCACTGACAGGAACCCGACCGACTGAAGGCGCTGGCCGATCAAGCTTGGGCCTGATGCGTTGTGAGAGGCACCGGCAGCTCTTCAATACTACATCAGCACTCTGCGCACTCAGGATCCCAGCTACCTGCGGCGAGGCCGACTAGCCCAGGAGCTGCTGAGGTTCGCCGCAAAGCCGATTCGAAAGCCTCTTCCATGCTGTCCATGCTGCTGCTTTTCCACGTTGGAACCTTGTGCAGGGATGCAGAGCGTGTGTATGATCCGCAGCAAGAAAGGCGGACTGCTGAGGATTCCCGAACATATCAGCGGACTCAGTAGAGTGGTGGCGAGCACCTGGTTAAGATCATGGGAGAAGAAATACAAGTTCTTCAGCGAAGCCAAGATGAAGGCCTTAGCTTCTCCAAAGTGCCTCGACAATTTGCACGCCGGCAATCACCTTGCTCGCAGGCAACATACCGCACGTTTGCACGCGTGACGAGCTTGGGGTCTGAAAACACACTGCCATACAACTTCGGGTTGACATGCTCCGCTGTACGAGTGTATGGCTTCTGGCGCTTCTGTCGTAGAGTCCAGCACGGTGGAGCAATGCTTGGGGGCACATGAGAAGCTGGTGCTGTGGCAACCTTCAAACGTCTGCGAACACTGAGGCCAGACATGATCCCTTCAACAAAGATCCGTCAGTGCCCCAACTGCTGAGTTGTCAGCATTGACACTGGTGCCACCCATGCAAGTACATGTCTGCCAGGGCGTGGGGGAAATCGGTGTTGTCGCGTTTCGCGACATATTGCGGCGACAGAAATGTGAAACTGGAGGACAGGGTGTGCATACTGGGTGTTCGTACTTCCCATTGCAGAACGGATCCTGAGACATCTTATATGTTGCATGGGGTGCCGGCGCGCCTGATTTTCACTGGCATTCTCCTGTGTTTCTTGTACATACAGGGCGTTATGGTGTGTGTTTTTTGCAGATAGGCGACATTTTGGCATGCTTTATCCTAAGTTTTTGGTGTTTTCCTGCGTTTTTTCCAGTGTTTGCATCCAGCATCCATGTTCCCACAGAGCGTCCATGTCCCAACCATATTAGCATCCACAGAAACTCAGTCCGTTCCCACAGCGCATCCATGTCCCAACCCTTTAAGCGTCCACAAACTCCGTCCGCAACCAGTATGTCGGGCAAGGTCGTTCTGAATCTTCTTCGGCGCTTGAAGTTGTTTAAGGCCGCAAGATTAGCTTATACTCAAAAGTCCCACGCCTGCCACGTAAAACAAACCTTAAAGATCCTTGAAGCAGCCCAAACCAGCAGTGAAAAAAAAGCGCGTCAAACAGAAGTCCCGAATCCTGTGGTTCAGGGCAGTGTATTTGCGTGGTACTAGCATGTTAGCATGCGTCTGACTTTGACCAACAAGAAGACGAGCCAGTTTCGAGGCCAGTCACGTCAAAGCTGGTAATCGGTCGTTTCAAAACACAGAAGTTGTGTGCTTTGAAAAGTTAGACTGTGTACCTCCAAGTATCGTGTTTTTGTTGCATCCGTGCAATTTCGTCCCACGTGAATGCTGTTGTCTGCGGTGTGTCCGCCGGGGTTCAGTGGTGCACAGCAAAACTGTCCTTAGGCCTCGTCGCTGAACAATTGCAGAGTGGTCGTTGACACATGTCGACATTCGAATGCTTCTGTACTTGGTCAGGACCGTGACAACCGAGTTGACTACACGCATATGCTTGAAAGCTGTGACCATCGTTCAGAAACCGTTGTCGCTTGAGTCCGTCGGCTTTTCTGTGTCCTATGTGGGGGGTTCTGACTTCCGACGCCATCTAAGCCTAAGCCTGTCGTGCACTCTACCCAAGGTTTGTGCTGCTGCTTGCAACTCCGGTTGATCTCCTCTCCAGTGCAGGCTGTTTGGTTTGAACCGACAGGACATTTTCCATCATGTTGATGCAGACGGCGTCGGAGTCTCGATGAGGAAACACTTACCAGAAATGGTGTCAAAGCGTGCACTCCGAGGATTATTCGCTGAGCAGACCGGAGGTCAAGCATGCCTTGTGCAGGCAGTGTAAATTGGAATTATTGTTCGGGCTTTGCCGCATGCTTTTGCTTGGTCAAGTTTTCCGATGAGTTCGGATGCATTTACACGTACCCAGTAGGTGGCAAGCCTCGTGCACGTCAAACATTGTGTCGGTGCAGAATCTTGTTCATTTCGCTTTGGTTTTGATGCTGTAGGGCTTTTGCATGCCTGCGCAGCAGCAAGATGCAAGTCCAAGAGGTGCTTTCATGCTTGCATGCTGGCACTATTATTGGTTCAGTTGTATCAAATTTCAGAATCCTGGGTCTGGCTTGTTTGCCATCGTGCAACGGGCAGTGGTGGGAAAGGTTCAATGTCAGAAGATGTTATTGCCAACATACTCCGTCAGCTTACAAAGGCTCTGTGATGGAATCCTCCCGTACTTTGTGAAGCATCTCGGAGACTTTGCAGGGTGCTGCCCTCCCTTTCAGAGCAGGAGGTCGTGGCCATATTTGATGCTCCTCGCCAAGAACCTTTGATGTCGTTGTAGTTGTAGCATGTTTTGTGGTGTATGGCTGCTCCTGCAGTCATTATTCAGTGCAGCCACTTCGTTCCAACCGAGGCAATCGACGAGGATCACAGTGGTGCCGCACAACCGTCGTGTTTGCGCAGATGCTCCTTGTGCCGACAATCCAGCAAGCTCTTTCGGTCCATAGATACATACATGCAGTACCTGCACACATGCATGCATGCGTGCATGCAGGATAGCATGGCCTGAACCTGGAGCCAGGTCAGCGTGCAAGAGTTTCGAACAGCCTTGGAGTGGGGCAGGAGAGCCGGCATTGCCTGCACAAAGGTTCTGTAGGTGCGTTTTTCTGTGCTGCCAGGAATGCTAAGTTCAACAAAGAGTCTACTGAACGGCACAGGAACCCGCGCGAGTCTCAGTCCGAGGAGAGCGGGTCAGCGCGAACACGCGCAAACGTGCGCGAACGCCGATAAGGACACATCGGATTAAGCGTTTCCCACCGGCGAGAGTCGATGGATGGGAGCACCTCAGGGATGCCGACAGTGCACTGAGCTCAACTGAGCTCAACTGCTGTGCTGTGCTTTGCTGTGCTAACCTGGCTGTGTGATGCCTGATGTATGCAATGCCAGGTGCAAGGGACCAGGTATGAGAGGGTTGGCCAAGCGGGCAGCCTGCTGGAGATGTGTGACAAGGACCGTGCTTGCGAAGAGCTAGCTTGCGGATGCGGAAACATGCGCTGAGCGTGCTTCCTCTTTGCCTGGTTGCACACAGTCATGTCTGCACATAAATGGATATCTGCCGAAAGGGCCGCATGACACCTCTTACGCCGATGTTCATTTTGTTGGTGCTCGGCCTTGAGGCTAAGACTTTGTGTGGGTAGGATTGCCGTTGTGACCGCCCGTGCAATTAGCGCATCGTGTGCCGGACACCTTGGCGTTTTGGGACATCACGGCCACCTACTGCCCACCCTGCAGGAAACATCCGAATGCCTGGGGAGATTGGCCAAGACGTGCTTGGCTGAGTGGGTTGTTTGCTCGCGCAGGATTGCACATGGCTGTCACCGGTTCTGCAAGGCTGGTCCACACACCAAGGGCACTTCAACACCGAGCCCAGACTCCGAAGTACCTGTACTTTGGGTGCCATGGCCACAAGTTAAATAGTCAATCCCTTCATCGACAGTGGAAGGTCCCATGATTTGGGTTTGTCTTCTGAGCTCTGTTGCTATGTTTGCTTCATGCATGTGCTTCATGGTACAGCACATTGAGCTGGGACGCTTTCGGATCTATTCTTTTCAAGCTCCTGACTTATTGACGGCCATTGAGGGCAGGTCATAAATCAATCAACAGAACATGCAGCCGTCGCAAGTCTACCAGATTGGACTGCTTTCTGCAATGTGGTCCTCTGTCTCCAAAGCTACACTCCGCCGGTTAACGGCATTTCTTCAAAGCGCACACCGCACGGGTGCTGCAATATCCACGCTTGGCACATCCCAGATAGACGAAAGAATGGACAATGCTTGAGGATGCTCCGTATCAGTACAGGACGGTGCACTCGGCAGTATGCGTGATAAGCTAAAACTGTAACAGATGTTGTGTTTGAAATGCTGTGCTTTCTCCCCTGAACACGCTATTTCAGCAGCGGCAGAGGGAGTGTGGCCCAACCTGATAATTGGGGTGGCACTCCAGTTCGAGTGTCAATGAAATGCTGGGACGTCGCTTATACAAACATCTTGATGTTCAATGTTGCCCATTGTAGCCACCGTTGATCGATCATCCCACGCACCAACACTTGCAGAACGCGTGTTCTGTTGAGTGAGCGGGTGGACCGCGTGTTTGCCAGGGGCGGTGCCGACAGCGCTCGATTCCACAAGCACTCCAGGCAGCTTCGGCTTTGGAGCAAGAATGGTGAGAGTGCACCGAACCCCTCTCACACGAACCTCAAGACCTCTGCCTTCCTGCAAAGTTACTTGTCTCTCTCTTTGCATGATTGTGAGGTTTGGTCACCTTGCGGTGGAGGCTGACGGTATTTCTCAGGCCCCAGCGAGCTGCTTTCGCTTGCTGCAGCAGAACAGTCCATGAGTCCATGATACTCCATGCCCATGCTGAGAGCTTCTTCGCTGGGCGTAGCGTAGCTCGGCTGAGGACGTGCCGGATCCGGGAGGCTCGCCGGCTGCCAGAGATACGCCACTTCGTCAAGTGAAAAAATGGCGACTCTTGTGGCTGGCAGGCTTTGATTTGCGTCCTGGTTTTCTATGTGGAGCTCGGTCAGATCTGTGCTCAGAGGGAGCTTAGGCTTAGTCTCTTCGGCTGCTCGACGTCCTAACGGTGCACCGGGCTGCAGGCGCGACAGGCAACGAGGCCACACACCCGCGGTTGAGGAAAGTTCCATTCCAAGATACGTTGCCGGAGCCTTTGGCAAAGAACCATGCGAGCAATACGCTTGCACAGCAGAATCTCTGTGTAAATAGGTTCGATAGGGTGTTTCTGAGTCAGCCCTGCCTGCACTATGTGGGCTTGTGCAGATTCTACCACCACAAAAGTCTACCAGCAAATTTGCAATCACCACTTTGTAGAAAGTTTCTGTCCAACAAGTTCTCTGTCTCAAAGACTTGGAAAGGTTGGCGAGCAGGTGGCAATACGCCCTTGCTCAGGAAGCTTGTCAACACTTACGCAGACGTCTTGCTTGCAAAGCTCCCTGTGCAACCGGAAAGCATGGAGATGTGTTGTGCTTTGAACGAGAAGCTGCTCCATGCTGAGGTTCACTCCCGACGACAGAGAAAGCACGAGGGAGAGAAAGGGAGAGAGAGCGAGAGAGAGACCGCGCGAGGGTGGGCAGCTTGCTCTCTCTTCGACACCGCCAGAAAAAGGGCCGTTGCCCGGCAGAGAGAGAGTGTGACGAGGCCGGGGGGATCATAGTAAGATTCATTGCAGGGGGTTCAGGAGTGCGACAGCCCGGCCTCAGCAGGCGGAGGGAGTCAAATGCAGACCAGCAAGACCAGTGCACGTGCGCGCGAGGGGGGGGGGGGCCGGGGTCTGCCTGCTCCCCTTGGGCTGTGCAGAAGAAGAGAGAGAGCCGGAATCCACACAGAGAGCCCGGACAGAGGCTCGCAAGGCGGAGAGACACCGGAGCCCCAAGGGGGAGAGATGCAGGAGAAGAGCATCCGATCAGAGCATAGCAGAACCAAGGAAAAAACTCAGAGCCCCACACTGACGACGACATGCGAGCCACAATGCCCTTGACGACACGCGGGGGGGGAATTTGCATAGGCCGAATTTCCCGTACCATGCAAAGAATCAGAACCCAAGAACACGCTCCCGCCTGCTGCCAGGCTTCATGCTTGCGGATGGTTGTCTGTCGTTTGATTGAATATTGATGGCAGCATGTCACCAAACTCAGGGCAGCTGTGAGAGTTTACGCAGAGGACTTACGTGTATAGGAAGGGTGCAGTCTGGGCACACTCTACCAACAAAAAACACATCTGTTGTACACTGCTAGTATGCTAACTGCTAACTAGCCCACGCTTCTAAACCTCAAAGACCGCACTCGCACACGAAGGAGTGGGGAAATCGAGGGTGACAGACGCACGGGTCTGGTGTGAGTCAGACCCAAGCCTCGGGGAAGCGAAGCAAAATCCACAGCTCGAGCACACCCCGAGGCGGAAAGAGGACCGTAGATTTTGCATGAAGCCCATTGGCCCAGATAAGGCCAGCATTAGTCAAGCAGAGCGGTACAGATACACGGGATCCGAATTTTGGTTTCCACATGTTTACGTCCGACGCAGTGAGCAGTTCCTCCTGCAAAAAGGAGGAACGCAGGACACAGCACAACATTTCCCCTCCATTTGAACTTCAACCTCGGGGGTCATTCGTAATCAGCCCGCTAAGAAAATCAAGAGCCAAAAGCCAAGCCGACAGAACGAGTTCACTGGTCTAACAAAGCAGGATTGTGTTCGTCTGGGAACAAGTGGAGAAGAAATGCGGGGGAGGTTTGCTGCGCGAAGGAAGCACCACGACGACAACGATAATTTGATTAACCATATGGGCAGTACAGCTGCGACTTCGGAATGCTTCTTTGTGCCCAAGCTCACTGCAAAGTCAGCATCAGCAATGGGGTTGCTGCTATGGCCGGCCTCTTACATTGATAAATCGCGGCCGGACATGCGTGCCGGAATGCTTGTTGGTTCGGAGGTCATTGTTCCTAGGAGCAAAAGCAGTCCCTGCGCAGTCGTACAGTGCTCAGCTGACCAGGGCCAGTGCTACACATGAGACAATGACGACTGTGCTGAGGCCTTTCGCCGAAGATTTCCATGAGGACTTGAGATGGTCCTCAAACTCCTGCAGATTGTACTCTGTGCAAATTGTTGGTTTCATTTGCTGCCTTGTTCTTGCAGGATGTGACAGTGCGAAGCCTCACGTACGCCCAACATACTTGTTCCGGCTACGATGAGCAATGGGAGCAGAGCTCAGTGACAACTTGTGCTAGTTGCTGCACGCTTGATAGTCATGCCGGAGAACTGATAGCAAGCCGGGCAGAGTTGTGTTTTTACTAGTGGAGAAAGATGCCAGCGGCACACCTGTTCGCTGTCGACCCCGCCCTGTTTTCGCGCTTGCATTGACTGCCTCAGGACATTTGCCCGCAGCTTCCATCGTGCGTACGCTGTGAGCCTGGACCTTGAGGAGGGCTTTCGCGGTGACGGGCTCACTGTTTGACGCGTCTTTGAAATGTCGGCGCTACGGGCTCGTGACTTGGGCTCTGCGCGCCATTGCGCGCCCACGAAAGTGTCGAACTCTTTTTCTTGGCCATCGCGGTGTCCGGAGAGGTTGGACCATTGGACAGCTGGCGTGAAGGAGGCAGTTGTCCTAATACTGCCAGACCCGAGGTCTGTTGACTGCGCCTTCGGGCAGTGGGGTTCCTGGTTCGATGCAGGAGGCCATTGGAGCAAAAAGCTGTCAGGGGTGCCGGTCTGCAGCAGCTTTTCGGGTGTTGTTTTGCAGATTGCAGGCTGCACGCAGATCCAGTTCAGACAGCGGGGCGTGGCGGTGCTGTGGCAGCAGCGAGAGGGGAGAGTCCGTTAGAGCGGAAAGGAACAAATGAATCTAAATTGTCCGAGCTGAGGTGTCAAATAACGAATGTGGAAAGCCTTGTGCTGGTCCAAAGATACAGTCGCGTGCAAGCCCTGACTCGAGGCTAAACGGGGCTCGTGCGAGTTGCAGAGTGCCTGTATACACTCCGACTCGCCAGGTGCACGAAGGACGAAGTTGACTGTCGGTGGGAGGCAAACTGAAATGGTGCCACGATTCTGCGATGTGCAAGACATTCGCCGTCTGATTAAGGCATGGTCAACATGGGCACAATGTAGCTCGCCAAACGACCAGTCCACTCGCAGCTGCCTCAAGAGATATGCAAGACTTGCAGCAAAAATGGTCATTGCGCTCATGGATGGATTCGAGGAGCTTTTCAAGCAATGCAGTTGGCCTGCTCATGAGTCCCTTTGTCTCCAACACAGTCGGGACGACGAGATGCGCATGTGCGCGGGATGCGGGGTGGTGTTTCTTGTGATGTGGTGGCATCGCATAACAAAGCTCTTCCGGCCGAGCAGAGCTTTGTCGATTCACCTTTCCCCTGTTGCGCTGTCCGTGGAGTTCTTTCTGTCTGCGGCCCTGTGCCGCGGCCGCGGCTGCATGGGGGGTAAACAGGCCTCAGCGCACAGAACGTGCTGTCGCCTAGGGCGCCAGGCCCATCCGAAAACACACCAAGAAATTCAGGCAGCTATGTATGTGCTTCTTCGGAGTTTCATCACTGCAGTGCCCAGAATGGTGAGTTCTCACGATGCAGTCCACGATGCCTCCTCCCCACGACCCACCACCGCACTCAACTGTGCCAAGGGGTGATGTGCAAGAGAGTGGCTGAACCTTGGCAAGTCTTCAGGTTCGCGAACTATCGGCCAGGAAAACACACGCAGAGGCAGAGCTCGTCACTGTGTGCACTGGATGGCTTTGCAGTGCCGCACCAGGTTCGCCATGTGTTGGCGAGATGAAGCAGACGCGACCTTGCAGCGCGGGTCCTGGCGTTTTTTCCAGCATCCTGCATGGATGGACAAATTTGGCCTGTAGCAACAAGAGAGTTTTGTGCTCGGAATCGCATCAGCTTCGAGTCTTCGAGGCTCCGGCCCATCGCCGCAAGACTGCATCATGAGCGATTGGCGCGAGTGGAGCACATGCAGCTCAGACTGCGGTGCGCCGGCGCCTGGTTTTGCAGCGTCAAGTCTCCGATACTTTGCTCATACGCACGACCCAGTAGTGCGAGCCCGTCGTCGGAAGTCCTTGCAATGCTCAAGTTGAGTTAATTAGTGTGGATATAGCGGTCGAGTCTCCATGGAGTGTCTGGTGGTTCCGTGATGTTTCCATCCATGCTTGTATCGAGAGCTGTGCTTGCTGTAGGATTGTGCCTGTTGCCGTTGATGGGCATCACAAAGGATGGCAAGGGTGATCGATGCTAATGGCAATCCAGTGGCAGGTGAAGGGCAATACTCTCGCTTTCGCAGAGTTGTCCGTGAGGCGCTTCTGCACGTGATGGTGCTAGCCTTCTGCACGTAGATACAGCGTCAGCATGCTTCGCGCCAACGTCGTATTGAATCTGGATGCATCTTGCCGCTCTTTAAAGAATCGAGCTCAAGGGCTTGGCAACAGCTAACGGTGTTTCTTACGAAGAACATGCTCTGGACGGATTTCTGGCACAGTTACCAGGCCAGTCGGGGCGGGCACCCCTGCGACGTGAGCACCTCGAGAATCAGGAATTTTGTCGGTTCTATGTGTGCAAATTCAATCCTTTCCTGCACCGAACAAGCCTCGGCGCTCAGGGGGTTATCCACCAGACAGAGACGTGCCAGTTGAGGCTCAACACATTCCGTTACCTTGATATGACATCCGCTGTGAGACGACACACATACTCGTTGGTGTCGCAAAGAGGCCCTGTGACTCTCGCGACTGTGAAGTCAGCGAGTGGTCGGAGTGGTCAACGTCAAATCCCTTGGAGGCAGCATTACAACACGGCTGGAAATCGTCAAGGTGGTGTGAGGTTGCGGAGTTGGGTTGAACGAGGTGTTTGAGATCGTTTGAGTTTGGGGTGTCTTGGTCAACTGGTGGACAGACACAGTTGCACCGGGTCTGCAAGTTTACAGTGGCAGCAGCAAGCTGGTGGCACACGTGGCCATTAGGGCCAAGAGTGCTCATTGTCTGAAAGTGCAGGGTCACCAGCTGCACACTAGGCAGTGGCGCCGCCCTTGGTTGTCTTCAAATTGCCTTGCTGTTTCTTGGTGATGTCGGTGACGTCTTGTTTCGCTGTGCACTGTTCGTCAGGTTCCGAGAGCGACGCGTCCTCGTGCCCCCGGGCCCCGGTGGACGCCGGGAGCCCGCGAAGATTTCTACCGACCGCTTGCAATGGTCCGCTGCACAGGCCAATGCCCAACCAGTCTGAGTGAGACGGTTCCAAGGGACAGGCCAGTTAGTGACAGGTAGAACCAGATAGGATTCCTGCAGCTCGAGTTCTGTCCCGTTTCCCACGCAGTTCTGGCCCTGCTTCTTGAGCGCTGAGATTGAAAGTTCTTGACTGTCCTGCTTCCAGGCAGCCGCAGCAGTGCGTCCTTTCCGCCGCGAGCTGATGCATCATGACAAGGCATGTGGCACAGCAGGCACCAAGTGGGCGCAGCAAGGAATGGTCACTGTGGTCTCATTGTGATCGCACCTGCGGCGGCGGTCAGATGATGCGAGAGAGATCTCTGCAGGACCCATCCGCAGTGCTTCTGGAGATGACTGGAGTGATTGGAGTGTTCTGAGAACGTGCTTATTTTTGACTCTTCAAATCACTATGCCATGAGCCAGTTCCACAGGATGAGCAGCCAAAACGCACGTCTACAGAGCACACGACAAAAGCGACATGCAGCTTTTGAAGTTTGCAGCATGGAGTTGCGCAGTCAACAATCCAAGAACGTGGAGGCGATCTTGTTTCGTTTTTGTTTTAGGTCCTACAGAGACGGTTGATGAGCTGCAAGCTGCAGCAATGCGCCTGGCCGACGCGCGGTCGGTGCTTCGAGTAGAACCTGGAGCTGGTCCCCGTGCGGTGCGGCGCGCGTACCGCGAGCGCCTGCTGAAGGCACGTCCGTCCGTGCGTCCACGCCAGGGGGAGCCGGGGAATGCCGGGGAGCCGCATGTGAGGTTCATCCTGACAAGGGCGGAGATCCTGAGGCCGAGACGTCGTCAGAGCATCGTCTATTCATGTCTATTCATGTCTAACCCTGGCAAGAGCTGCTCTAATCGCTTTGGCCTGCGGTGCTGCGGTCGTCAGGAGTTTCGTCAAGTACGATTGGCTGGTGTGCTTCTCCTATCTCAGAGCAAGGCTTCTTGCCCTCGAAGAGTTGCGAGGTTTCCTTACAATCTGCTGTGCTCTTGTTTTCTTCAGCAGGTACCAGTATACCATGGTGGCTTCGATGGACTGTAGAGTGTAACAGTCTGACTGTTCCTGCACAACCGTTTGCCAAAACTCATAGACATATCCAAGCCGTCGCCCACTGCAAGACGAACAGAACCAGAAAAGTAGATGAAAGTGTAAGTGCGGCGCTGAGACTCTGTAGATGGTGTGGAACGAAGCTCCTGAACCGAGGCTGTGACACCAAAAGCTCAGAAGCGATCGGTTTGCACTCAGTCGAAGGTCTCCCGACCTGCCCGCTCCAGCAGCTGCAGAGCCGCAAAAAGCCATGACTTCAATTGTCCAGCGTTTTGGCGTCGTAGGCTCACTCAAGCAGTGCGCTCTGAAGTTGATGTAGCAGTAGCCTGTGAAACTCACATTCTGCCTGCAAAATTTGTCGAAGCTGCAGGATCGAAAAATCTGCCGCCGGATCCGTCGCGTCTGGCAAGTGTGTTCCAGGACGTTCTCACGGGTACAGCACGACAGCACGAAGGGCGATAGGCCAGAAAGAGTTTGGAGAGTCCCTTTACCACCAGGAGGGCCAAGCCAAGAGCTACGCGAGCCTGGATGCAGTCTTTGGTGCCGGGAAGAAAGGCAAAGGCAAAGGGACCCCGACGTCCGTGTACACCAGCAACGCTCAGACATCGGCTACCTGGCACATCTGGACTGACCCTTCGAGACTTCGCAAACCGTAACAAGCCTTGGAACGCGATTCTTGCTGCAAACAGATTTGCAACCTCCGATGACTGTGCAATTTGCGAAGGAAATTTGATTGGGTTGAGGGCGTTCTTTTCAGCCTTTGTTTGTGCGTTGGGCGACCGGCAGCCATAAACTTGCAAGCTTGTTCGACTGCCAACATTTTTCAACTCGTGCCACGGCCCTCCAACGCTTGCCTGGCTCCGAGATTTGTCGCTGCTAATCTGCGCAGCAGAGAACGAAAAGGTGCTTGTGGGATGTGAGTTGCAGAATTGCGCCAGGTTCTAGCTTGTTTTGGGACGATGAACTTTCATCGCCTGTACCCTCAAATGCAATCTCTCAAAGTCAGTCCTGTAAGAAGCAGCTGCAATCAGCTGCACCTTTATATCGATGCTCAGGGTTTAAAGGTTTCGGGTTTGCGATAATTTTTGCGAACTCACTCGTGCAACTTCAGTGGTTTTGAGGGGTCCGGCTCTTGTCGACGAGGTTTGAAGCTTTCGGGCATTTTCAGTGTGCAGATATTTCCTCCCTGAAGTACACGGTACAGTCCACGCCCGGAACTACAAACATTTATGACCATGTGTGGTCTTACTTGCCGCGCTTATCAGATAACGATTGTTCAGGAGTTGGGGGGAGCATCTACACATCGGAGAGATGCCCAGCGAAATCGCGCACCAGCAGCCAAAAAGCACGCCCCGCACCCACAGCAAGAAATCCTCTGCAAAATGTGCGCCGCACTGACAGCAAAAAGAACAATCCACCTCTGCACCCGCAGGAAAATCACAAGTGCCCAGCAGCCGGAGAGCGACAAAGCATCCGACAAACAGGCCACCGGCAGCAAAAAAAGTGTCGCGCACCCGCAGCAACAAGAAAGCATACCCTGCACCTGCAGCAGGAAAGATACTGCCGCTGCATCGCAACTATGAAGCGAGGTCCTTGTCAAATGAAACTACAGCAGGTGGACGTAACGGACCAACTGTCGTAAGAACGGTGGGTCCTTTCGCAGTTCTGCTGGCCCATGCGGCAAGCAAACAGCTTCACGAAAGGCGTCGGGCGACAGAGGAGCACGCTCGACTGCGAACCCCTGTCACGTAAGCTGTCTAGTTCGCCCACGGAGCAATGCTGTCAAGAGCATGTAAGGAACAATCCGTTTCGACGAAGTTGGTTGTCTTCTCTCGACAAGCGCGATGCAGAAGCTGCGCGTTTGCGTGTCAAACAGCGGCGCCAGCAACAACTTCTGCCCATGTGGCTACTTGGGCAGTCCCCACGTCTGCTCTCCTTCTGCGAAGCTCGATCACACAACACTGCTGGCTCCTCCAGGCTGTTGTGGCATGAAAGGACAGGATCAGTAGCTGCACATGGTTGACCGGCGAAGACCAACACAGAACATTGGTCAAGCTGCTTGTCGTTCTCTCATCTGAGGACAGTGCGTGCTGTGGTGTGGACATCTCAGCATCGAAGCTGGCAGCCCTCGCTGCAGAATTGAAGGCGCTCACATCCCAGGACATAAATGTTGTGACGTCGTGGTCACGTCTGAATCTAGCTTGACCTTGATCTCCCTGAAGGAACGGCGGGTGCGGTTGGCTGCGTTGCCTGCAAAAGCACGGGAGCAGCTGCGGGAGCACCTCTGTGCACCTTGTCTCGCACGATGTCCGGCAGTTTGCAGGGGCTACTGGGGCTACTGAAGCTTCGTGTGGCGCGGCTTCCCTTGCAGGCAGCCTCGGCTCAGCGAACTGGTCACAGCGACCAAAGCGAGAGCAAAAGCAGTGCATCGAAGTATAGCGGAAGACGGCAATCGAAGATGGACTCGGAGCTGTTGAGGAGCCGGGCCATCAAGATGGCTTTTGCGGCTCAGGGGCCCAGCACTGCGAGCTGCCAGAAGGGGACGTCGGCAGCAACTGCCTTGCTTCGCTTGGGCTCGACCCAGGCCACCATCTGCTGCGGATGGTTTCGGATTGCAACACAGGCTAGGGCCCGTGGCCAGCGGTTGTTTCCGTGAGTAGAGGGAGTGTACAACATTGCGTCAGGTTCCTGCAGTCCGATGCAGACATCCGACTGCCAATGGTGCTGGGCACAGTAACCGAGTGCGGCATTAAGCAATCGGCAACGTTGCACACTCCAGGTCTCAATGGGGAGAGTGGCAGAACCCTCGGCCGACCACCACAGCACGCAGGTGCGTTTTTTGCAAAGCTTTTGATGAAGGTCTGAGTGCAGCGCACGATGCGGTGAGGGCTCCAAGCAAAGGCGTGGAAGAGTCGAAAGTTCTGAAGCAAAGTGGCTTTACAACCACTTAGAGAGCAGCTTGCAATATCGTGGAATCTGTCAGGGAGCGGCGAATCCTCTCTGAGGCACTTGCTGGAGGAACGGCATGCAAGGGCCCCGCAAATTCGCGAAGAATCCAGCTGCTTAGAAGTGCTCTTCGTGAGGTGAAGGCCCTTTGAAAGAGCTGTCGGTTTGCCAGTGCTTGCCTCTGAAGGGACAGCGCAGAATCATCATGATACGTCTGTGCTGCAGCCAAACAACATGCCTTCGCGTTGTTCAGGCTGAGCCAGTGCACTTTGGTCGACTGCCGTTGGGCAGATTGGCTCGACTCTTAGCCCAAACAAGAAACTTTTCAATTCGGAGAGGGTCTCGTGGATCAGCATCTTGACTGAGGGGTGCATGGTCAGATTGCTCCTGCGAGTGCGGTGGTGGAACGAAACGACGGAGCAGGGTGCGCACTCAAGAAAAGGAAGCAAGCTTCCCTAAGTGCAGCTTGCTTACACGCAAGCTGGTGCAGGGCGTGATGGAAGCTCCGCGGAATGGTGGAAAGGAATGTGAGCCTCAGGCACCCTGCAGACGCTCCAAACATGTTTCAATGATGGTTTGGGCAGGACATGGAGCAAGCCTTTCCTTGCAACACACAGCTGCCGAGCTGCAATTGGCCGTAGAGTCAAGGCAGCGCACCACATCACGTCCTTTTTCAATCTGAGGCCTTGCGGAAGTGGTTGCGTGGATGGTCAGTGGGGAGCACGAAGCCGAGTAGCCGAGTGGTAGCCGGAAAATACAGGCTCCGTTTTGGCGGCTCTGAGCCGGGTTGTCGCGGGCAGGCCTGGAGCTCTTGGACATCCTGCTCTGCAACATGCCTTGTGCTGATGGGTTTTCGCTGGTGGCTCTCAGTTGAGAATCTGCCAAGGTTCCAGCAGCTATCAATCTCGAAGTCGCAATCTCGAAATCCAGTCTGTACCCAAGCAGTCGACCTTGTGCATACATTTGCTGTAGCTAGAGATGTATCAAGGTTTGGAATAGATTCAGCCGGCTATGCGTCGCCGGCAGTTTCACCTGTGAAACAGTTCGTATAGCGCTGCATTACAACCATGTATGCACGTAGAACCATTATGTGCCAATGACACCGTCCAGAAGGGGTAGAACTAGACCGTAGCGGAGAACGATAGCGTGTGGTACGATTAATATCAATAAAGCAAATACGATTTAAGATACAGCTTCAAAGACGGCTGCAGTACCTGGTAGCATCGCTTAGTCTGGGAGGGCCTACCATCCCATACTGATGGCAGCAGCCCTCCTGGTTGCATGCTACAGGCCGAGTAGCTGCGGCAAGGCCGCTGCCGGTCCGCGAGACGAGCGCCTCGACAGCCTGGATCAGCACAGCGCAGCTCTATGAACCCGGTTGTCAGACAAACAGTGACTCAGAACCAAGCATGTCTTGATCTCTCGCGTGGTCCCGCTTTTGGCCGTACATCAATAACAGGTATCAGGTGTGCAGCAACCTGCAGCTCCTTGGCTACATTGGGACTGGATAAGGTTGCATTGCATCTAGGCGTGTTTGAGTGATGATCTGCACATGTGAGTGACAGAGACACCAAAAGCCATGCCGCAGGTGAGGTTCTTGATTGTTCTTGCTTGGCCTGAGAAAGTTTGTGGCAGGCCATGCATCCAGGACACAGATTGCCAGCTGCACGACTGGGGCGAATGGCGGCGCTCTTGTTTTAGCAGCATGTGTCTAGCAGGGGTAAGCAAGGATTCTGGAGTTCCGAGGTCGCATTGCAGCTGCCATTGCTTCGGGATTCGAGAGAGGACATGGAGTTGCCGAGAACAAGTCGTCGATTTACGAAAGAGTCACGCAGGAATCGCTTCATCTCCCACTTTGCCACGGGCAAGGGCAACCCTTGTGCCCGAGCAGCCCTCAAGGCCAGTCGCGCCTCGAAGCTTCAACAAACGACATGCAAGAAGATCGCCAATGGGCAATTTCCAACCGGCCAGGTCATCGAGCCGTGTAATCCCGGCCCGTGCTGATCTCAGAATGCATCTTTATATATCTTTATGCTTCCAGCTCCTTCCCTCTCCACTGCCACAACCAGGATTCGACCCTTCGATCCCGATGCATTGGACAGCCTGCCTTTGCAACTGCAGGCGGGCTTCTGACTCTCACACCTCCAGCTTCTGACTGGTTCCCTGATTCCATTTGCTACTTGACAGATGCCTCCGACTGACTGCCAAGAGAAGCCGTGCCGTCCTAACTGTGGAAGTCTCAAGTCGAGCAATCTGTCGGTGTCAAACAGCTGTTGAGGCCTGTAGATTGTGAACTGCACGACTGGACCGAGTGGCAAAGCTCTCAGCTTTGATGCCATACTTAACTTCGAGGTCTCTTCTGCCAGTGTCCGTGGTACGGTGAATCACAGAATTTGCTCCACACAGTCACGGGGCACCGGGTTTTGCAGTGGTGGCTGTCGACTGCTTCGGGAGAGGATCTTCGAAACAACGGAATACTGATGTTACTATTGTACGTTCATTTCTCCTTGTCAGTGAGGGCACTTTGGCTTTGCCTGTGACACTGAGCTCTGCATGTAGTCCTTGCACATCGGGCCGTCGCATGCGCAACATGAAACACAAGGCTTCATGTCCATGGTAATCACTGTACGAACGGAAAACTAAAGCAAGTTTCGGCTCCTTGTGGTGAACCTGCAAAGGACACGTTGCTCTCGTACTTGCGGCGGTGGGCAGCGAGAGAGGAGTCGTACCGCCGGACACCTTCAACTCCGCCCTTCTTCTGCGGTTTACGCGCAAGTGTTGAAACCCCAAGGTCCGCACAGCACCGAAACACGGGGGACAGCCGTGTCGGGCAGACTCGCTTCTTGTAGCCTTTCAAACGCCTCACGAGGGTGTGCTCGAGAGGCAAATCTGATCTCACCACCGTGGAGCCATGCAATTTGGACCCCTGCCATCAAGTTCACTGTGAAGACTGCAGGTGGGATCCTGCATGTGTTGCAACAATTCAGGCGGTCTCAAAGCTTTGCTGCTATGGAGGTGGGGCCAGTGGAGCGACTGGGGAGGTTGCAGCAAGCGCTGCGCTTATGGAGAGGAATCGAAATCTGTGAAGTTACCTGCTTGGCCTTCTCCAGGTGCGGTGGCCAGAAGTACCGCCATCGCTCCATAATCCAGATGGCGAACCACTGCGGTGCCCACCCCGTCCCGGCGCTGTTTTGTTCCCAGCTCTCGGTGCACTGTGACAAGGCAAGCCCTGTGACGTCAGAGCCGCGAAGGAGGCCAGCAGCACGCCCTGGAGAACAGGTTGTGTTCCGATACTTGTCTCGAAGCGGGTCTTGCAAATGGGGTGCAAAGAACAGGATTCAGTATTACCATGCGGCCTTTTCTTTTGATCCGCTTTCTGTGTCAAACTGAATTGCAGTAGCGACCGGCGTGCGCTCGTTGATGTTGAACCCTGCCGCATGTCTTGGAGGGCACAGCCATTCTTGAGATTGGAGGTTGCCGCACCCTTTCAACCCCTTGACCTGAAAGGTGGCAGATGCTGGCAGAAGGGCTTGCAATAGCATCTTAATAATGGAGTCTTCACCAATAACAAGTTCGATCAAGCGCGAAGACACCTACAAAGGGGATGGCCAAAGATCAAGAGAGGAAGAGGAACAAGCAATCACTGAGAGTTAGTTGAAGAACTCAGAATGGCTAGTGGCATGTGTTTGCCGACAAGATGCGTGAGACTTTGGCCAGACCACGAACTGCACCAGCGAGTGCAAAACGCCGCTGTATTGCGCTTGGACAGAGTGGCCATGGGCTGAGTTTTTTTCCAATTTGCCGAGCTTGCGGAGCTCTGGAGCTCCGTGTCAGGTCCGGAGCGACATCGTGTGCTCCGTGCGGCAGGGACCCCACGGCACGTTTGTGGACGCAGCGAGCACTGCCAGCGCCGAGGGCCCGCCACGACCATGCGGAACCGAGCCTTGGGAGCTCGCCTCGGAGACTGGAATCCTTGAAGAGCATTGTAGAGCCAGCGCCGTGAGCACCGCCCAAACCGCCGAGGCTTTTCGGCCAGTGACCCGGGGCCCGGCGAGTGGTTCTTCCGGGTGCCCGGGCCCCTGGACCCCGTGGCTGCTTCTTCTCCTCTCTCTCTCTTTCTCTCTCTCTCTCTCTCTCTCTCTTTTTTCACTCTCTCTCTCTCTCTCCCTCTGTGTCTGACTCGCGTATATTCCTGTTCCGTGCACTCATGTCTCGATCCGAGGACTGGTGAGTCTGAGTGTGCGGGGACGCAGCTGAACGTGAGCTTGTGCCCTTCTGTTCCGGCCTTAGTTGCATGAGGGTACAGCACAGTTGGCACATCGGCCGGTTGCGAAGATGCGAAAGAGTGCAGGCCGTTCAGGCGAGAAGTGGATTCTTAGTTCACTTTTGTCTACTCCAAGTAATCCCTGGCGTGCCCCGTTCCGTTTTGATCCGTTTTGCGCTTGTTGAGCTTGCGAACCCCACGTGGGCGCGAGCAAGTGAGCTGCAGCATCATTGCGCTGTTAAAGGTGTGGAAGGAGCATGCCGGATTGTGGTACATAGTCGCTAACTCATGGTGACTCGGCGTGCTTGTTCCAAGGCTGGAGCAAGCTGCGAACACTGCGCCTGTCGCTCAGCGGGCCATAGTGGGCCAGTGAGTTGGCCTCCTGCGTCGCCCGTTGCACCTTGATCGACAGGTGCCGCAGCATTGCCACTTCAGCGAGTGGGGCGACTGGTTCGACACTTTCTGCCCGATCAACACACTGATGTAGTGTGACAAGCCTTTTGCCAAATCAGGCGCGAACCGACCTGCGTCGGTCTTTGTGAGCGGGAGCGAACCATAGTGACGGCCTCAGCTTGGAAATGCTACAAGCAGCAGCTAGAGAGCTTCTTTGGTAAAGATTGTGCATGCTTCTGCCCTGCTTTGATACAGTTCAGGCCACCATCAACAACGAATGCGGGAATCCATGTGCACGGCCGAGAGCGAATCGAGAAGTCTCCACTGCATGGCGACGCGTCCTGGAGACCTCAGGTGACGGGCCAATGCTCATGACCAAGAGCTGCCCAGTGGAGTCCCTGCCTGAGTGAAGCGGCTTGGCAGACATGCAAGGTTCCCAAACCACGTTTGCCAGGTGCACTCAACCAAAGGACTGTGCATTCTCCGCATGGACCGAGTGGCTCGAGCCTGAAATTTGGCCACTTGGCAACGCAAAAAGCACGTGCCGTCATTGCCGTCTCTTTGACTGCAGGAGTCAGTGCCCGGTCTTCGCATCCCAGTCGCAGCGCACACGCTCGCGAACCATCGCCGCGCCCTTGCCGGAACCTCCAGCCACAGCCACAGCCGTACATCTCGACGAGGCTCAGCAGCCCGAAAACGAAGGAAGACCATGCGCACGTGACTTAAACGAGAAAAAAATAAGCTGACTCACAACCGCGAGCCATTGCGAGCGCCTGCTGAGGTGGGTCCTTTAGAGGAGACGGTGGCCTGCCAACGCCTCACTGCCTTGTGTCTAAGGGAGTCATAGTGGTCTGCTTCGCTCAGGTGAGTACAACCACCTGAAGGTGGATTGTGCTTTTTCGCCCTGGGATCCGTGGCCTGCTGCCTGGATCAGCCTGGACGGCCGCCTCTAATGGGCCAGCAGCGGTTGGTTTCTTCGCAATTGATGTAATTGCGAGGTCCTCCTGCAGTCGCACCTGCGGCAGCGGCGGATGGAAGGATTGCCGACGTACTGCTCACTCACGAGTGCCTGTGTTGCTAGTCACGGACTGCTTCAGACCCAGAGCAAGCGACCACAGTTAACCTCCCTGCAGGAGCGTACACGAAACATCGCAGATGCAGCAGCAGGCGGTGGACTGCAGTGCAAAGGAGGCCGGAAATCCATTGAAGGGGAAGCGGTGCGAATTCCACATGTCAGTGTTGTGGTTCTACTGCCAAGGTTTGACCGAGCTGGTGGCATGTGATGGCGCTAAGGCAGATCGAGAGTTGCTGAGATGCTGCGCAGAGTTCTTGAAATTTGCCCGGACGATCCCGGTCGCCACGAGCTGCACAGCCTTGAAGCATTGAAAAGGTTTGCGACGGTTACGAGAAAGTTGACTGCCAGCTGTGCCCTCATCCATCAGTTTGACATGAGACTGGTCGAGTCTCGCGGCTTCTCAGAGATGCGAACATCCTTCTGCGGGAGTTCAGATTCAGGTTTGCAGCGTGGGGCTCGTGGTCTGCACCGGCAGGGGTCCTAAGTCGATTTCAGCAGCGACCACGCTCTGCTTCAGAAGTCCCGGATGCTGCAGCAAGGACACCAGCAATCAGAGGAAGCGCGAGAGAAAGATTGTGCAGATGGCTCTTCATGGTGGTGATGCCTGCTCTCGCCCTAGATGTGCTTGACAGCTTGGTTTTTGCGAACGACTGCCTGTGCAGAGGTGAAGGTTCACTGGAGGACTCGTGTAGCAGCAATATGTAGCAATTTAGGGTTGAGCTATGCCCGTGCCATGTGCAGGAGGTGGAAAGCCTTCCCCCAGTGACCAGCGACTGCCTCGTGTCGGCTTCGGTCTCAGCGAGCTGCGAAAGTGAAGCTCGGAACCTGTCGTGCTAAGTCCAAGCTCAGGAGTGGAGCGAGTGGGACAACTGCGATCGAGGCCTCAGCCTCAGCGAAGAAGCTCCGTTCCCTTTGGAAGCCTGAATGAGCCTGACCTCGTGTGTGATTCGAGTGGGTCAGTGCTGACCGAATCTTACCGACACAGTGAGAATTCTGTGCGGAGCTCTTGGGGCACTGCTGGGACAATGCTAAAAAGACTGCAAAACGACGCGTTGGGACATCTGCCCTCCGGCTCTCTGGCGCAGCAGGACGAGCTTTCCTTTGGGTCGTGGGCTTGGGGATGCACATTTGGATCACAGCGAGGTGGGATTTAAACGGATGATCAACCCCAATAGTCTAATTTGGGGGCATTAGCCTCCATCGCCTCATGTGTGAGTGGTGGTGCTAGTCAAGCAAAAACGTCTTTCTTCAGTCTTTCACCGCCAGGTGTTCCTGGGAGGAAGGGCAAGCCGCCCACCCCTGCTGAAGCGCAACGCTTTTCCGGGTCGTGTAGAGGCTGAGGCAGTCCCTGGTCCGGATTGGAGGACCTCATGTGACACATGTGCTTTCCGTTCATCAACTTTGTGAGCTGTCAATCTTGCAAGAACTGTTGCTTTGGGTGCCTCCCTGGACAGCCACACCCGCAGAAAGCCACATTCACATTCATTCTATGTATGACTATATGTCTGTATTTATATATATATATATACATATATATATATATATATATATGTATACATATGCTCGCCCCCCCCATGATCCACCATCAGTGGTTCTGGGGAGCGGGGGGAACGCGCGCAGTGTCAGGGATGGCAGACTGTGACGTGCTCTTGGCCTGCGGCGTTCGCATGAAAAGTTCGAGGGCCTGGGAGATGCTCGGATCTTGCGGGTCGGGAAGACTCGTTCGAGACTGGGACGGTCGGTCCCGCGAAGGTTGCACCGACTGGTCCGTGGAGCATTTCGCTATTGACCACTTCGTTCGGAGTTGTCGGTGGTCGGGGTTTGCGGTTCGGGACTCTTGCCGCTTTCGTTCGTTTGATGCTCGATGTGCCGCTCGACCCCATGCCAGAGTGGTCTAAAATGTGTTCTGTGCCACTATGTGCTCTTGGCTGCTGATCAGTGAGTTCTCTCGAACGTGCGTGCGAGTAGTGTGTAAGCTATAGATTCACAGCCACTTCGAGTGCAGTCGTTTTTCGCCTTTTGACGACCGCTGACTGTAATGCAATCAGGGAAATAGTTCTGACTGGTGTTCTCCAACTAAAAAAGGCAAGCCCCAGTCCCAGGCCCTTGCCAGAGCATCGTTAGGATGGCGACGGGTGCGAGCTTCAAAGCATTGAGTGGAACAAGTTTTCCAGCAGCACAGTCGAGCGTGGGGACTGGGGGGAAGCGCGGCAGTGCTTCGACATGTGTGACGCGGGGCGGCTCACTATGTCCGTGGTCCGAAGGGCATCAGCTGTTGCATATGATGTTGTAAAAGGTTTAAATTGTGTTCTCCATCATACTGAGGCTGCGGTGGAGGACAGTCGACGAGACATCGGGAGGCAGCTCCGGATGGCACGGGCTGGCACGGGCTCACTGAAAGGAAGGTGTTCTGCGCAACCTGGCAAGGTCCGACGCTTCCCTCAAGCTGGGGGTGCCTCTTGTCCTACGGACCTCAAGGCGATGCCGTGCCAACAAATGTGTTGGCATCGCTGTGCGGTACTTTCCCTTCAGAGGTTTCTGAAAAGCAAGCGTATCACGGCAGGTGACACGCAGTTGCAACACCCAGTGGGTGACTAAAGCTGGGCTTTCCACGTGTCGTATTGTTCATCCTCACACGTCATCGGCTCGATTGAAGGTCCTGTGATGCTCAAGACTGCACCGTTTCGCAATGGGGTGAGTCTTGTGCTGAGTGTGCCACCACAGCAGTAGACTGAAAACAAGCTTAAATCAGCTCTGGCTCGAGGTGGGGGCCTTGCTCCTCGAGCTGTGGAGCTGGGCAACAGAGCAGGAGCCTGGCACTCGCCTACCTCCGACCTCCAGCAGCTGCAAAGTTTATGCGAGAGCGGATATCTAGGCCGGCACATCGTGAGCTTGCGAACCTTGGACGGAATTGGCGCAGCTCCTACTTCGCGAGAGCATTGTCCTCCTGCTGTCACATACAAAGGAGATGAGGACTGCAGGTCTTGCGAGGTTGTACAGCTTAAGCGATGTCTAGACAAGTTCGAATCTGCTTCAGGCTGCAAGAAAGGCCTCGGCATGACTCAACAGTGCGTGAGAGCCCCACGGACGGTCACACAACTCACATTTCGATCTTTCGATGCTGTGTGCACCAGGAAGGAGAGCACTATTGTGGCAAACTTGACTGCGAATGGGGCCTGTGCCCCAATCCAGAGCTCACATGTACTCATGAACCTGTCATTCTCGTGGCTGGGCTGCAGGCGAGTGGAGCGATTGGAGTGGGTGCACCTGCAGTTGTGACGGGGGACAGACAGAACCCCAGAACAGAGAATGGCAAAGTTTGTGCCCCTTATTGCTTCTTCTTCTCTCCCCGAAAAAGGCAGACAAGAACGCGGCACATCGCCCGTGCCCCTCGCAATGGCGGCTTACCTTGTCAGGACACGTTGCAGAATAAAGCTCGGACAGCTTGATGGTGGTTTGTCGTAGCAGCTCACAGCAGATAATTGTGATCCAGGAGGGTGACAAAGAGCAGATCGCGTGTGGCTCTTAGAGTCCGACAGAGCAATGCTTGAGGTGTGGCCACTTCGCTTCCCAGGCCCTGCAACACGCAGCCCTGTGGCCAGTCGGACTGTCGAGATGGACAGCTGGCCGCTCAAGAAGACGAGATAGTGTTGGAGATGCTGCGATAGCTGCTCTCAAGTCTTTTGACTTGAGGTGGGCTGAATGGACGTCATGGGCCCCCTGCTCCGTTACCTGTGGTAGCCGAGCTCAGCACACTGAAGACCTTGCCGATTTTTTTTAATTTAGGCAGGCGCAGCACTGTCTAGAAGCTCGAAAGGTGGTGGAGTCAGATTCCGAAGACGAAGGACAGATTCAACGGGTAGTGAGACGGCATTGATACAGCCTCGCAGCTCGCAGCGTACTTGTACTGGCCCTGCGGCCCTCCGTGCGAAGGATCGGAATCATGGCGAACGACTGCGGCCGCGAGCAGCTTGCCCAGGATTTCTGAAGCGCCCCTTTGGACAAGCCTAGCTCCACAATTCAGGCCTCTGGGAAAGAACCGGGAGATTGCCTTCTGCGATGTGGGTGTTCATTGCTCCAGGTCTTCGAGCTGTGAAGAACGTGGATGAACGAAAAGGCAAGCGCTTGATGCCATGCAGGCCGGTGGACTGCGAGCTCTCAGAGCCGGGCTCCGAGCAGCCGCAGAGGGATGTCGCCGCACCGCCGCACCGCCGCACCGCCGCACCGCACCTCACACCACACTAGACCACGAACCGTTCTTTCCCGCGACAGAGAGGTGGAGCTCCTGGAGCGCCTGCAGTTCCAGCTGCGACGGGATCCGCCATCGCTCCCGCGTAGTCCGCTTCGCCTCGCTTCGCCGCTTGAAGATCCGAATGCTTCAAGGCTTCGAGTCGTGCCAGGTGCGGGTTTATGGAAGGGCCGACGGCCGATGGTGCAAGGGCGTGTGGCCCTCGGTGGCATGAGGCTTCAAAGCTGTTTTAGAATGTATTGTTTCCAGGGCCTGCGAGAAACGGCACCGTGCCATCCGACCTTCGGCTCCTCGCTGCCGCAGGCCACAGGACTTTCATTGACCGGTAAAGCTCTTCAGCAATCTCTGACTGCGTTGCATCACGGCAGGGCTGTGGTCCGGGCCGCGCGCAAGACTGCTTGTTTGGTCCGTGGGAGGCCGGCGAAACCCACCCACGATCAAAAAAGTGCCCAGTGTCTAGCTGCCCGTTGTATCGACGAAGCTGTTAAGGCCTGGAAAGAGTGCAGCGCTACTTGCGACGGCGGTGAGCATGCGTGCCTTGGTGGCTTCAATTATGGTGGCGCTTGGATCCTGGCTGGGACGCTTAATACACGCCTCCGTGGAAACTACGCACAGACCGTGGCCGTCGTAATGTTTGCTTGCGACACGGCGACAAACGAAACCTTCTCCATGGAACTAGGCAAACACGACCAGACAATGCGAGTAGCTTCAGTAGTTCCGACACGTCCAACAAGCTGTGGCTGAATTTGTGTGGCAGAGCTGCAATGCATGAATTGTCGTTTCTGTCCAATGGCAGCAAAGAGGCTTCAGCTGTAGGATGTGTTGATACTTCAGGCGAAGCCGAGAGATAGTTCAACATGCCAAGAACGGAGGACTACCATGTGGGAGCCCTACCTGGCTTCAACACCAGTAGCCTTCGCGCCCAACAAAGAGTAGAATTGTCAAGGCGAGGGCGACCTCAAGCAGATCTCCGAGTGTGCCGGGAGCTTTCCGACGGTTCCTTCGTTCAAGATCCTACTACTGCAAGTCTTGAATACGAGCGGCCCATGAGCGCAAAACCTCGGTCCGTTGTCGGGGCTCGGGCTTCGTGCCTGGGTCCTTTCGTGGGATGTCGTGGGAAGACTTCAAGCAAAGGGGAGGCGCAAGTGTGGGTGGGGCCTGCGCTTTCCGAAGCCTTGTTCCCAACGACACATCGCATCAGGTTTCACGACTACAGTGACGACTACAAGCAAGGTGAAGCAGCACATTCGCGACACGATGATGACGATCGCAGGGTCAACGTGCTTCGAATCAGAGGGATTGTCCGCAGCTTCCCTCCTGTCCATCACATGCTAGTTCGTTTCGGGTCGCGGGAATGCCCTTCGCCCCAGCCCGGTTTGAACACGTTGTGGAGGTAGACATCGGGGAACTACTGCATCGCAGCAAGTAGTTTGCATACCTATGGGAGTGATAGTATAGTATGACAGTATGGTCAGACATACAGTCCTTAGTATGCATGATGCTCGATTCTTCGGGTCCCCTCTGGCCCTCTTCTTGTTGAAGCGGCCTTGGTTGTGGACGGTGCAATCGTTCTTGGCTCCGGATGGCTCTATCAAGCTGGCAGCCTGACATCGTGACAGCACCTGCCAAAAGATCTCACGCCTTCCCTGGAAGTGGGCGGAAACGGAGTGAGCCCCACTTTCGCTCCGTCTACCTGAATTTCTTTGTGCCTTCCCGTGCCCGCTCAGGGTTTTAAAACTTACAGACAAGCTTCTCCACGAAGCTTGCAGGGCTTCTGTGCCGTGGAGAACTGCACTCCTTCTCTGATGTGTATTGATGTGTTACAGTGCATCTGCTGGATAAGAAATGCCAGCTTCCAGCGTTGGGTACCCTTCATTTCTTAGCTTCCTTTCACTTTCAGATTTCCACATTTCTCAGGCCCCGAATCGTTGGGTACCCTTCATTTCTTATTCATTTCTTAGCCGGGGCTCGAGCCCATGGAAGTCCACCAACTGAGCCCATGGCGTTAACCATTCGGCCAGACAGCGACCACCAAGACAGTATTACAGTGGACTTCAGTCTTTGGTGTCTAGATGCAACTGCCAGAACACTGTCCGGCTCCGTAGGGCTTGGAAACCAGCCAAAATAAGAGACGTAGCCCCCTACGTTTCTTATTTT